CCCCCCCCCCCGCCGGTCCATCTGCGCCTGTTTTCTTAGAAGAGAAAGTGACTCCCACGCGATCCCCAAACATTGTCCCAGCTGAGGCGCGATCCCTCGCTTTTCCTAAACGTCGCGCCGCCTGGGATATCTCTTAAGGCTGGAGAAGGGCTTCTAGTACGGTGGGCGCAGCGCCCTTCAGACTCCTTTAAAACACACACACACACACACACACACACAAACAGCTGATTTTTTGTGATGTGGTGGATTCCTTTAAGCGCGCTCGGGTCCCCCGGGGGGAAGTGAGAGCCGAGCCGGGGAAAAAAGTGGGGAAGAAGCGGAGCGGCGGGTCTGGTTGGTTTCGAGACCGAGTTTGCATGCTTTCGAGGTAACCCGGTCAAGGAGCAGAGGAATCGTTTCTCGCTAGGCTGCGTGGTTTTATGTCGGTGGAAGGATTTATTTTTTTTATTTTTTTAGGATCGGGGGCATATGGGAACGCTGCGTCTTTTTTGGGGTGTGTGGGGGGGTGAGGTCCCGGGGCGAGCGTGGGACTGCGGGACACTACAGAAAGTGGGAGGAAGGGAAAAGTGACTAATATGGTTCGTTTGTCCTTTCCCTTGGGCTCCCCCCCCCCCCACCATTTTGATATTGGCAGGACTTGTGGTGAAAGTTATTTATCTGCGTTCACTGTAGCAAAAGCTGGGGCACTGGATTCCGAGATAGTTTTAAAAGTTCTCTCTCCCCCTCTCCCTCCCCCCTCTCTCTGAAACATATATTTAGTTATTTTTAAAGGGTGCTGAAAATTCTGGCGGATCACAGCATCAAACCAAATCTTTACTTTGCACACACCTTCCTGGTGTGTACAAACATTTATAGGACAAGGCTGTAACAATCTGAGGGGCTAGAGTCGTGCTTTACTCCCGATTTATTGAGTAAATTGCAACTAGCTAAGTTCATGCATTTGGGATTGTAAAGTGTGGTTTACAGAAGAAAACAGCTAAATTCATATAAGAAACTAAGCCGAAGGCACAATAGGCTACCATTATTATTATTACACAGTAGAGGGCAAAGAATTTAAATTGATTGCACTCACAGTACACTCCTTGTTCCTGCATAAAAAAATAAATAAATCCAGGCTTAATGAAAATAGCCAGTGTTTGAAATTGGCTTAAAGATAAACTAATGGTTAACTTTAGAATGGCCCTCTGATCAATAATTCATTAAGCTGCAATGAGTGTAGAAGGTTCTCTTTGACATATATAAACAACTAGCCTGGATGCCTTATTTTCTTGATTTGCAACATAATTTGGATATATATATATATATTTGTTTTCTTAAGTTTTTGCGGGTACTTACATGTATGGCATTCGGCTTTGCTCGGGTATTTTCCCACGTCATAGTAGCTATGCTTTTAAAGTTGTAGTGACGTTTCAGCAGAATCTCATCTGCCATCATCAGAAGCCTGATGATGGCAGATGAGATTCTGCTGAAACGTCGCTACAACTTTAAAAGCACAGCTACTATGACATATATATAACCAGAGCTGCAAAGAAACTCCATCTTGGCCTTGGACAATCAACACATTTAAGTAACCCAACAGCAACTCTAATTAGAATGATAATGTGAAACAGCTGGCAATAATTTTTAAAAGCTTGCACTGAAGTTACACCATTCCGTGTCGGTTTGGAAGCAGGTGGGGGAAAAAAGGGAGCTGGTTACAACTGCCCAGAGAAGAAAGCTCTTTCAAAGTCTTCCTTGTTCCTAAAGAACAGAGGACCTCTCAGAGCCTGAACTGAAAGAGGAACTTGGAAAGTGAACCATAGTTGCAGGAACATTTATACCGAACAGGTAATTCCCACAAAACTTTGATTTGAGACCTGCTAAAACGGGAGCAGTCCATCCTCTGTCCTGTAACACATATGGATATATTCGTTGGTATTTGTTACTGGTAGGTTGTTTGCTCCACTTGGCTCTTAGGGTGCTTTAATTATTTTTAATTAAAGATGAAAAGCTGTGTCATTCAAGCACTGACTCTCAATTTCTAGCAATGCACCTGGGCCCTGTTGGGATGCTTAGAAAATAGATTTGGTAGGGGGGGGGAAATATACTAAAATAAGAACCAGTAGCATTTATTGGAAGCTCTTTAAAATAGCTGCAGCTTTTTTTGAGGAGGGGGGCATGTGTAGGTTTGTGGCATAAACCTGGGAAAACCTAGATTAAGGGGAAGGTATTCCTGACAACATATATCCCCATATGCATTGTAAAACATTTTTTTAAAATTTTGAATCAGTCTTTTTGATCCTAATTGAGCTTTGTAACTTGGGGCAGGCACTAAGGAACACCCTAGAAGGCTAAAGATTGAATATTTTGTGTCTGGCCATGCTTAACCATTTTGTAAGAATGTCTGCAATATTCAGAAATTCCTTGTGGATTGAACATTTGGCTTTGCATTAGGAAAATGTGGATTGGGAGCACTGTGACCTTTTAAACCATAGTGTATGCTGCATGAAATCTTGAATATATTTTTTCTAAATTATCAAAAACATTTCCTTTTTAAAAAAAAAAATCAAATTTTCTTCTCAGAAAATAAGCAATTGCTTAGAATTGATTGGACGATACTGTATTTTACTCTTCCAAATTAATGTTTGAAGTTAAATGCCTCATAGCCACGCTATATAGGTGGAAAGGGGCCTTCTATAATCATCTGAAGACATTTTTATTAAAATCATGTCGACCATTTTATATGACTTTCTTGTTTGCTTGCTAGAGAGATTTAGGATTCTGATTCTTTAACAAGCTTGTTTAAGTCAGATTTCCATATGCAGAGCAGTGGATTATGTCACATAAGATTACTGGTAAATCTTATTTGAATCCTATTCAATATAATTCTTTTCAATATCTTGAAATATATTAAGATAATAGTTACATTTTTTCTTGTTCATTTTTTCTGAAATAACAGGGAAATTAAAAATATGGCATCTTGGGAAGATTTCCAACCCCAAAATACTATTGATTTTCACCTCTTTTTTTTTATAGAATAATGCTTTATATAACTTCATCCGCATTGAGATACTTTTAGCTGTCTTCTCACTTCTGTCTCCAAATACAAGATTGAAAATATCTGCAAACACCATAGTAATTCTCAGCAAAGACTAACGCAGTAGAGATGTTATAGAATTTGTAGGAATTATCTTAAATGTATGTTGTCTCAATGTTAAACTTGACTCTTAATAACATCATGAGATGTCCATATGGTCTTCCTGAGAGCAGTAGGTGGAAAGGGTTAACACTTTCCTTTTTAAAGCACATTGGTACCAATCTTCTAATAATTGTAAAATATAGCAGAAAGGTGGAATAGATTCAGATCTAAAATGTTATGAGGCACTGGTGAGGGATGGACAAAGCAGAAAATTAACGGGCATCTAGAAATAAAAATTAGAGCTGGAAAAATCTATTCCACATGCTGCACCCTTTCCTTTAATCGTGCCTGGTGTCCTCATTACCCTAAAGTTCCAATAGCATTGGCTGATGTTTCTTATTGATTTTTCAAGAGAAAAATCTCTGTTTGGATCCTTTCTTTAAACATGCTGGGACTTTTAAATATACATTTCCTCAGCTTTGTTTTGATTTTAATTTTACAGGAAATTCTGTGTTCTCTCGCACGTTTAATGGCTGCTTGCAGACTTGTTAAGATATCCATATGTTCCTTAGCAGTTCCACCATATGTAGCAAACTATTTTGGGCCAAGCCACTCATCTATTTAGTTCAGTATTTTTCACATTAACTGGCAGAATCTGAAGCAGATGATTAAACCTGAGAGCTTTTGCAAAGCATGTGCCACTGCTTAGTCATCCTCTAGGTATAAATCTTAAGAACACTTGTTTGGTGAATTACACAGCATCGATCCTATAACACTACTTTTCTATGCCTGGTAATTTATAAAAGCATACGGTATAGACCAAAAAGGCATTAAGAGTTGTTAACCTAATCTTACGTAGCTTTTTCTCTGGTAATATCACACTACTAACTAGAGCATACAAAACATTTGCTAGACCAATACTTGAATACAGCTCATCAGTCTGGAACCCACATTACGTATCTGATATTAGCACAGTTGAGAAAGTCCAGAAATATTTCACAAGAAGAATTCTCCACTCCTCTACTTGTTGTAGAATATCTTATGCCATCAGACTTGAAATTCTAGACCTAGAAAACCTTGAATTACACCATCTTAGGTTCGATCTAAGTATGGTATATAAAATCATACATTGCAATGTCCTACCTGTTAAAGAATACTTCAGCTTCAACCATAACAACACAAGAGCACACAATAGATACAAACTCAAGGTTAACCGCACCAAACTTGATTGCAGGAAATACGACTTCAGCAACAGAGTGGTCAATGTCTGGAATACACTACCTGACTCTGTTTCTTTCCCCTCAAACCTCAAAAACTTTAACCTTAGACTTTCTACTATTGACATCACCCCTTTCCTAAGAGGTCTGTAGGGGGCGTGCATAAGCGCACCAATGTGCCTACCGTCCCTGTCCTATTGTTTCTTTTTCTTATATGTACCCATTTCATGTATTCATAACTATGTATATACTTATACCTGTTATCTTGTAAGCAATTGACAAATCAAATAAAAAAATGGCAGTTATTTTAAAGAATAGCTCTTGTTTTTGTTTTTAAATCATTTTC